AGGGCTATGGAGTTCGCCGGCGATGAAGAAGGGCACTGTAGACCCGCTGGAATATAAATACATGCGAAACTGCAAGAATTGACGCAGTTGAAAGAACGAAGGCGGCGTGAAGATGGAAAGAGGAAATGACGGAAGAAACCATATTTATTTTTGTCTCTCAGACTCCGTGAGTGCGGATTGGTTAATCATCCAAAAGATAAACGCCACAATTTTTTATTTTTGGTTAAATTCCCATTTTAGTCCCTAAACTATTATATGAACCCCTAATTTGGTTCTTAAACTAAAGAAATCCCTGCTTTGGTTCCTAAACTATTGTACGGACCCTCAATTTGGTTCCCACTGTTTATAATTTGGCCTAAGTTGGTTTTTGAACTATTATACGAACCCCTAATTTGGTCCTTCCTGTTTTCAATTTCACCCCAATTTAGTCCCTGAACTATTATTTAACAGAATGATCAAGTTAGGGTTAAATTGGTAAATAGTAGGGACTAAATTGGAGATCCGTATAATAGTTTAAGGATTAACTCAGGGTCCTACAATAGTTTAGGAACCAACTTAGGAGTCCGTACAATAATTTAAGGACCAAATTAGAGATTTCTTTAGTTCAGAGACCAAATTAAAGATTTATACAATAGTTCAAATACCAAAATAAAAGTTTAACTTTTATTTTTTTAATATATTACAATTAAAATTTCAATTTATTTTAAAAATTTCATGCACTTTTTCCATAAAATCGGATTCCGCATAAAAAATGGGAAACAATTGTCTGTTTAAAGCCACCAGCCGCCTAGCAATGTTTTCAAAACCGGACCGGTCATTGAACCATTTTCAGGTCTGGTTCCCGGTTTGACCGGTTCAATTGGTTGAACCGATGAACCGGCCGGTCCAAACAATAAAAAAGGTTTGATGAGAGGAGCAAGCTATAGGCATGGATTTTTTTATTTGGTGTTGATAATTTTGTAATTTTGTTAAAGTTAAAGGTTAAAATGGGTATAAGAAAGGAATGGGAAGGGTGAAATTGAAAAAAATTGAAAGAAGATTGTATGAGAAATTGAACCGGTGATTTTTCTGGTTCCATCGGTTTTATCGGTTTTTATTGGTTTTTGATCGGTTTTTACCGATTTTACCGATTTTAACCAGTTTTTATCGATTTTGACCGATTTTGACCTCAAACGGTTTTCTTATGTAAATCGAATCATTTTCATGATCGGGTACCGGTCCGACCGGTTCAACCGGCCAATCCGGTCCGATTTTAAAAACCTTGCCGCCTAGTTCTTTCTGC